GTCCTTGAAATCTGTATCAAAATGTTATGTGTGGTAGATAAGCCGGACCCCCAACCTAAAACTCTCATGATCTGTCTTCGGAAATAGAGTGAGTGAGTGAGTATGGTTTTATGCCGCTTTTAGCAATATTCAAGCAATATCACGGCGGAGGACACCAGAAATGGGCTTCACACATTGTACTCATGTCGGGAATCGAACATGGGCCTTCGGCATGACGAGCAAACGCTTTAACCACTTAGGCTACCCGACCGCCCCATCAGAAATAGAATATCAACAAATCCATAATGTATTACACAAGTGAAAGTTAAAACAGTTTCATTACTCCTGAGCGATCTTTGCACCACAGTCAGATCATAATACCGTGTTATATAGTGGTTCTAAAAGGGGTGGTCGGGTAGCCAAGTGATTTAAGCGTTCGCTCGTCACGCCGAAAACCTGGGTTCACACAAATTAAGAGGAGATGAAGTAGGGTGCATCCAATATATGCACTTGTTAACCTTTGTACACAGATATTGACACTGTTTGCTGTTATTTGAAAATTATTTACACACAACCATTTAAATGAAGGAGAGGCATGACAAGAATACCGTTCAACAATTAGTCTCATGTTTAAAGATTACAAACGTTTTGATAACAGCTGACCCAGACTCATCTTCCATGTCACAGACTGCTAAACCATGTTCAGGGATCTGTTCCACAAGGCGATCTTAGCGATCGACTGTCACAAGTCAGTGCTAAAGAATGGGAGTTACAATCTACTTAGTGCTAAGATCCCTTTGTGGAACAGTCCTGTCCATATGAGTAAATGTGTTATCGTATGAGGGAACACTGAAGTAAACAAAATTTATTTTTGTCTCGTTTTACTTTTGGTAAATTTATTTTTCCAATTAAAGAGCTTGTTCTTAGACAATAAACCAAATTCAGAACCAATTCAGAATTTAAAAGTGTATTACACTTATGTGATGTCATATATAAATCCGCACTTGAAGGTTGACCTCGCCTCGGTGCATCGAGGTCATGTTTATTTTTGTTCACCTTCCAGTAACCTATTTTTAATACTTGATTTATCCCAAATATTGTTTGTAAATTTGTTCAGAGAATGAAATTATGTTGACATATTTCTAGATTATGTTGTATATATTCAAAGAACTATTTTTCTTTGCGTAACTGAGTATGAGTGGGAAAACGTATGTGACCGAGAGCCGGCAAATACCGACAAAATAACACAAGCTCGGAGGTTCAAACAGTTTAACCAGCGCTTTTAAATCGTTCACACTTCAATGAACCCATCCAAACTGACGTTCAATTCTTAAATGAATCTACCACAAATTTATAGTATTTCTTAAAATATAAATTATTTTTTACAGAATTATGAATTTCAGTCTTACCTGTTAGTAGAATTCCAACATTAATTTGAATTTTGAGTTCTGTTTATGTGCGAGTTTATCCTCTCAATTAACCTCCTGTCAATATTGTTTGGTCTATGCACCTGGACAGATTGGCCAAGAAAAATGTTCAAACCACTCAATGAGTCTTGATCAAACAAGTACCGGGTAGTGTGCACTAGGGCTGGGACGAGTCCAAATGTACTACCCGGGTACCCACACCCTTATTACCAGGCCCTACCCGGGTACCCGCTGTTGGTGTCAAGAGATAGGTACAAAATGTCTGATTGGGTATAGTTTGACAGTAGCCCTGGCAGAATGTATCTAGATACACGTATAAAACTATATATGGTCATGCATACACTGAAGTTGACTGAAGGTTTAGCTTTGTTCAAACATATATAAGTTAGAAGTAACGTGTTCATAGTCATAAAGGTATGCGAACAACAGAGACACAAAATTATCGTGTAACCCTGTAGTTATATGGTGAATCTTTGTCATGAAACAGTATATCACGTGACTAAACACGGGTCCGGGTAGTCCTGTGGGTACCCGGTTCTTACTCAGTACCCACCTGACCCGAGTACCCGAGTTACCCGTCCCAGCCATAGTTTGCACTACTGTAAACAGGATCTTTAATTGAGTAAACTGAAACAAGTGGCAAGTTCTGCAGGAAATGAAACCCTTCCTGTTAGCTAACAGTTTCCGTCACTCAGTGTTCAATAAAAAATACAACCCTTTGTCAATGATCTGGTTCAAACATTTCCTGGTGTACATTGGCATTGAAATGAACAAAACATGGGGTTGAGGATTAAGAAAAGTTTCGGGAAATGCATTCAGTATAAACAGAAAGGTACAATACAGTGTCAGAAGTTGTGCTGTTTTAGCATTAGTTCAGCCTGGGGCAACCAAGAATAAGTTTCTCCCTCTGTTGTTTGTTTGTTTTGTTTGTTTGTTGTTTAACACCGCACTCAGCAAAATTACCGCTATATGACGTCGGTCTGTAAATAATCGAGTCTGTACCAGACAATCCAGTGATTGACATCATGAGCATCGATCCACGCATTTTCACATTCACATCTGGGATCCTCAACTTTAGAAGCATTTCCCTCATATAGAAGCACACACTACCATCTACTTTCAAAATTTCACCATGAAGATTTTGGTTACCATTTGATGTTACTAACATTGTGTCGTTTTGGTTTTGTTTGTTTGTTGGTTGTATAACGCCGCACTCAGCAATATTCGAGCTACATGATGTCAGTCTTTAAATAATCGAGTCTGGACCAGACAATCCAGTGATTGACATCACAAGCATCGATCCACACATTTGGGATACGATGACACGCATGAACCAAGTCAGCGAGCCTGACCACCCAATCCTGTTAGTCGCCTCTTACGACAAGTATAGTCGCCTTTTACGGCAAGCATGGGTTGTTCTCACTCTGTAGATATATGGGAAATCAAACCCAGAGGTTTGTCTGTACAAGCAAATGCTTTAAATATCCACTAACCTACCCATCTGCCGCTTTTAGGCCACACTTACTTAATTTTATGTTTCACAGAGTTATTCCAGCTTTTCCACACAAGGTCGAATAAAAATGAATAGCTATGTCCATCATTTATTTATATGAAAGTCATTCTTTCATGGAGTTAACACTGCAGCTGGCTCCTTGAATCACTGATAGTGATGTTTGTTTGTTTGTTGTTTAACGCCGCACTCAGCAATATTCCAGCTATATGACGGCGGTCTGTAAATAATTGAGTCTGGACCAGACAATCCAGTGATGGACAGCATGAGCATCGTTCCACGCATTTGGGATGCGATGACATATATCAACCAAGTCAGCGAGCCTGACCACCCGATCCCGTTAGTCGCCTTTTACAACAAGCATAGTCGCCTTTTACGGCAAGTATGGGTTGCTGAAGACCTATTCTACCCCGGAATCTTCACGGGTCGATAGTGATGTATGTAGACATGGAATTTATATATAACATTTTATATTGTATAAGGGGGTCTATATTACTATCAGGAGACATAATAAAATAAATATTTTAAGATTTGATTTATTTCTTTTCGAGGTGCTTTTCAGTAGGGGTGACAGACCAATGAAACGAAAAATAAATAATGTGTGGCCTTAGGTACAAGTTATGAAAAGATAACTGAATGGGACTTTTATGTCATAAGTAGCAGTAGTCAAGTATATGAGTGTGATATATTCAGTTGGGAACAAGCAGCATTCATGTTGACACTTAACAAGTGAATTGTTTGATAGGCATTACTTAGAAGATGACGGATGACAAAGTAGACACGATTTATGGATAACAACTTCTTTAATCCTGTAAAGGTGACGTTTCGGTATAGATCCTTATACCCTTGTCAAGCAAGGTGCCACTAAAGTAAGATGACAGAACCAGTCAGGTCAAATCTCAGTTTACTAAGTTGAAATCGGCATGGGGAACTGAGGATCTGTCCTGGAACACCCAAGGTGTCACGCACACAGTCATACACCTCATTGGTAATAGTCAGTCCTCCTATGGTGGCCCCCATTCCAGTGGATGAACTGTCAATACTGTGTAGCAATGGAGGCCAACCAATCTCCACTTGAGACACAAGCAAAGCATACTGAAGACAATTGAGTATTTGGGAAAGATACAGGGTATATTTATGTCTTCTCTTTGTTGCAAAGATTTTCAAACTGCATCATATTACTTAAGCAAAACATTGTTGTTTTTAGTTCATTGTTATTCAGTGACACTAAAATATACTTCTTAAAACGGTAAGGACAATGAATGTTTATAAAACCAAGTCTTCACTCCAAAAAATATCCCCTAAAATATTAATGGTTCCTAAAACAATTGTTCATTATATTTCAGTTTAAACTTTGTAGCTTCATATGACATCAGATCATCTTGAAAAGTCTGTTTCAGTTCATGGCTAGATGTTTAAACTTTCTGGAAAAAGCTTATGAAACAAAGGGTAAAGAAAGATGCTAGACGTAAACTCTCATAAACAGATATTGCTGGGATGATTCATTCATACATCAAGGCAAAAACACAACATCGTGAACATCCATGAATGCAGGTACCCAAACCGCAAATCATCTTGATGCAATCAGCCAATGTGGTGCAATATTTAGCGATGGATACTGCATAGAAACATACTACAACCTCAGCATGACCAACAGTTACAGAGCAATATACTGAACCCCAGCTGCACCCTTGAGTGTATTTTATGGGTACAGAATATATTTGGCCAGTCTCTCTGCATGTTTAAGCTAGGAAACTGTGTGTGTTATCAACACAGCATGTTGACACAGTCTACCCCAAACTACATTAAGCTACCGTGTTCACTTATATATAACAGTACATCAAGAAGACGTTCTGGTTACCATGGTTACATAAGCTTCAGCAGTACATATCACATTTATCTTAAAATATGACCTTGGAGACTTCCTGAAATTAATAGTTAATGTAGAAACACCTTTGTTTCATTCAACACGAGGATACTTGTCATCTTCAGGACTTGAAGATAGTAATGTTTTATTAAGGCCAGGCTATGGCACAAACACCCATTTGACTCGAGTTCCTGTACCATTGCTGTTTGTTACTCACCAGTTGATGTGGTCTGCAGTAGCAACTTCTGTTGAATTTTCATTACAAGCAGACCCATGACTGAAAGAAAAAAGGAAATTAATTATGTTCATGTTTTGGATTGTTGTGATAAACTAACAATCAAATCCTGGATGGCATCTGAGAACAGGTAGAACAAGGGCAAAAGTGAGCGTGGCTCACTAATACCCCGACCCGCCTAGTGTGAGTAGTTTCAAATGAAATAATAGATAAGGTTAGGGTTTGAAAAATTCATAAAAAAATGGAAAATTAAAAAAAACATTTTTTTTCTTTTGACAGCACCCCTCCATATGACACAGATTATATGTACTAAGTTTGAGATGAATCCACTGAATAGTTTAAGAGAAATCGCGGGGACAAAGAACTTTTTGTTAGGTTTCACAGTCTCTCTACAATCAACTAGCTTAAGAATGGAATGCAAAACCATTAGCAAACTGTGAATTAAAATATGTATGTTGTCATTTTGAAATGTTTTTTAAATTTGTCATGTTGAAAATAAAAGACATTTATCAAGAACTTTCTCTTCATGTTCTTCTGCCATGAAATATTCAAGTAGACTTCCTCAACTCATCTTCAATCAACATAACAATATTTCTCACCTAATAATATCATGCATATTGAGTAGATTTTGAAATCTGTATCAAAATGTTATGTGCGGTAGATAAGCCGGACCCCCAACCTAAAACTATGTTTCATCATGATCTGTCATCAGAAATAGAATATCAACAAATACATAATGAATTACACAAGTAAAAGTTAAAACAGTTTGTGTACTACTGAGTGGTCTTCGCATCACAGTTAGATCACAATACCATGTTATTTAGTGGTTCTAAAAGGGGTGGTGGGTAGCCTAGTGGTTAAAGCGTTTGCTCATCACACCGAAAACCCAGGTTCACTTCCCGACATGGGTACAATGTGGGAAGCCCATTTCTGGTGTCCCCCGCTGAGATATTGCTGGAATATTGCTAAAAGCGGCATAAAACCAGACACACTCACTCACTCACTCATGCATATTGAAACACACTACAGTTTGCTTCGCTATGTAAAAATATCTTTAATTTTAATTTAAACAATGTTTTAATTTCCATTTTTATTTAATTGTCCATCTGATCACTAATTATGAGAACATATAATGTATATTGGAGAGGTGGTGGGGTAGCTTAGTGGGTAAAGCTTTCACTGGTTCAATCCCCTAATGGGTACAATATGTGAAGCCTAATCTCCGCTGTGAAATTACTGGAATATGGCATAGTGGTGTAAAACTATACACCCATTCAGTCACAAATTTCAGATTTTTAAATCCAGTGGAGATGTTAAAAATGCAAAGATTTATTGCAAACAGAAAGATCAAACATCATAGCAGAAATGAAAATTTAATCACAAAAAACATGTACTATATATATATTATTCATGCAATGAGATTTATTTTATTGACATGCTACGATTATCATATGTAAGGAACATAACCTTATGACCTTTACACCGATTGACCTGTACACGTGTGGGAAATTTACTGGTTGGGTATGTCAATGATTATGAAACAGGAACTTGCAAGTCACAATTTTCCATTACATGCACTGAACTTATAACACAAATATATTGTAAATGCAAATACTATCTGACTCAACTGTGCACCAGTGCATGTAAACAATTTAACATGTTTAAGATTTACAAGGTGGGATCATTCAGAAAAATATAATTTCCTTATCACGCTTATGGACATAGTTGTTTAAATTTGCTTTCTTGATCTGCTTCACTGCAAACACTGCACTTTTGAAAAGCATAATACTATAACATTAATAAACTACCATTTACCCTTTTGGATGAACCTCAGAGAGTGTGACTGTTTTGGTCGATAGCATCTTAGTAATATTTCAGCACAATAACACACAGCTAATTTATTGAAGTCACTTGTCATTTCAGTATGGGATTATTGAAATGGTCTTGTCACTTTTGTTAAGAGACAATCATAATTGTGCCTTACAAAGGAATGTCATAATTCTGGTATGTCATTTGAACTGACTCAGAAATACAGTGGCCATCCTTCTTTCAAACAAACTTTAAGCACTGTGAGTTGAATCCAAATGTAGCTAAGAATAAACCTTTATGAGTTAGTTTCAACATATTTTATTGTCCAGATGAACAATGGGATCTAGCCAAAGTGACACACTTCCGTAGCCTTCCCCTTTTATGCAGGGCCACACAAAATTAGGTTTTCTGAATACGTGCAACATAAATTTTATATGCATAAATGCACACATACATCATGAACGTAACCTGTTTTGCAGTGAAAGGGCCCAGGATGTTTTCCAAATGAAAAAGAGAAATACAACACTGTGTAACACTGATCTCTTTTACTCTACATAATTGCAGGGTACATGTTCATAAAAATATGCGAATAAACTTAAAATATTACTCAAAAATGGGTTTTCTAGTACATATGAATATGTGTCCAAAATTAAATTAAAAAGTAATTTACAGACGACACATGGCAGCTTATGTTTGACCAAGTTGTCACAGTTGAGTTAATATGATAATCATGTACAAGGTCATTGCATGCATTTATAGGACATTACCTTCGCTTCAAATTAATGTCAAGAATATGTCCCTCGTGAAATAATAGCCAGTTTGCCCTTGGTAAACCTCAAGGGACATATTGTGATATCAGACTGAAGCCAGGCCATATTCTATTTATTACCACAGATATAATTTGATGAGGAATCAACAACAACAGTTTCAGTACCATCTTCATAGCAACTGCGAGCAAGGTCAAGGTTACCTTTGTTTACTGAACCACATAGACTAACATTTAGTCTATGAAATCTTATATTTCACAATACCCTTCTTGACTCTAAAAATGATTCTGCTGATTCATGTGGAATAGAGCTTGCTAGAGCTGGCTAGACTTGCTTTTATATATGTTTCTAGATTGTGTATTTTTTTCATAAAATATATTTATATTCCACAGTCACGGTGCAAGACTATGAACAACATTGCTGTTTAAAATAATTTCCCATTAACTTATATCCAGTACAGTTAAAACAATGTTTAATATGTTATTGTCAAATTGAAAGGACAATTAGTTTTTAACACTGCAGTAATGTCTTATAACTGAGAAACACCAAACTGCAAGATTCAACTTGTCTTAATCTCTTGTTAATTACTTCATCAAGGAACTAGAACCCAGTCTAAGCTCAAGTTTGTTTGATGTTTAACGCCGCACTCAGCAAAATTCCAGCTATATGACAGGGGACTGTAAATAATCGAGTCTGGACCAGACAATCCAGTGATTGACATCATGAGCAACAATCCACGCAATTGGGATGCGATGACATGTATCAACCAAGACAGCGAGCCTGACCACCCGATCCCATTAGTCGCCTTTTACGACAAGCATAGTCGCCTGTTATGGCAAGCATGGGTTGCTGAAGACCTATTCTACCCTAGATCTTCATGGGCCACTTCAGTTTGTATTCCTTTGTGTGGTTGCATTTGCAGGGTAAACAAAAATTGTGTTGTTTTGATCAAAATATGAGTGATGTTCATGTTTTTATTACTGTAGTTTCAGCTTAATAGGCCTCAGAGGAAATGATGAATCACCATGACACTCAACTTGGGATAAGGTGAGTTAAAAATCAGAGGAAATGATGAATCACCATGACATTCAAACTTGGCATAAGGTGAGCTAAAAATCAGAGGAAATGATGAATCACCATGACATTCAAACTTGGGATAAGGTGAGCTAAAAATGTACTTCATTGTTTAAAGTCAAAGTGTTGCAGGTTGTAGATTGTCTACAACTTAGGTGAAGCCCAGGAGCAGGGATGGTGCTGACAAACTAGAAACATAATCACGTGTGAATCAGGATTTGAACCTACGATCATCAGATCGATCCTGGCACAACTAAGGGACGCAACTCTGCATAGAGAATTGTTGTGCCTTCGATGACTGAGCCCTGTGGACCCTTTAAACACAAGAGATACAAAGTGGGGTTGGGGCTGAACATGACATGGAAACAGCATCTTACCAGGCGTAGACCTCCAAGTCATCAATACAGACCCGGGTAACGTACAGAGTACACACAATAGTCTTCACAGCCAAGTCAAATATTGTACTGCATAATCCTGAAACAGAAGAACCTTATGTCAATGTTTTCAAACAAGAGTGCATAACACTTTCATCAATTGCATGCATCCACAGACCAGGTACAGCGAGAACCTCAGCCAGTGCTGTCCTCGTTACCGTAATCGTTGTATAAAATGTCCTGCTCCCATAACCCTCACCCACTTCTAGACATATCTGTAACTAATCTTTATAAGCGTGACCCCCTTATAGACCAAAAACTTAACATGACAGTGCATACTATTTTTTTTCATTTTAAACATTTTTTACAGAAAGGTACAGTACAAAAGAGGCATGTAATTGCCAAGTGACTCTTTTTGAAAAGATTTGAATTAAGTTTGTTCATAACCAATTGATCCCTGAAAACAAACTTAACTTGCGTACGGTCAATTTCCTTAGCGCCAGGTGCAGTTATTATGGTGAATATGGTATATGTACTTAGATAACCGACATATATTAACACATTATTACTCTCTCTCCACATAATTACTCTCTCTTTCTCTCTCTTCTCTCTCTCCTGGGGCGGTCGGGTAGCCAAGTGGTTAAAGCATTCACTCGTCGCGCCGAAGACCCGGGTTCAATTCCTGACATAGGTACAATGTGTGAAGCCCATTTCTGGTGTCCCCCGCCGTGATATTGCTGGAATATTGCTAAAAGCTAAAACCATACTCACTCACTCACTCTCTCCACATTATTATTCTCTTTTTTTCTCCTTCTTTTCTCTCTCTCCACATTATTTCTCTCTCTCTTTTCTCTCTCCCTCTTCTCTCTTTCCACATTATTACTCTCTCTCCATTATGACTCTCTCTTTCTACTCTCCCTCTTTCATATTGTACTTCAATCATGAGAACTACATTTTACCACACAACAGTCAAACAACAACATTTAGAACTTTTTTATGATTCAAGTTATCACATTCCTCTCAATACCTCATGTGCAAGTTCTGCATTCCTCTAAACACACTAGGGGGCACGGGTGACCTAGTCGTCTAAGGCGCCGGGATTCGCTGTGCAGAGTTGCATCCTTTGGGCAGGCCAGAAACCTATGATTGTGGGTTCGAATCCCGGTACCCCTTAATTATGTTTCTAGGTTTGTCAGCACCATACCCGTGCTCGTGGGTTTCACCGAAGTGGTAAACGTCTGAGACCTGCATCACTTCGGGATTTCCTCCCACATTAAGCTGACACGCCGTGATATAACTGGAATACTGTTAAAAGCGGCGTAAAACCCAACTCACTCACTCTAAACACACTAATGATACATTTACCTCAGATGCTCATTTTTTCAACGGATCATAAACATTTAGTATCAATGTCCAACAGAACAACAGGCACATTGTAAATACTCTGAATCTCCCCTTTTCGTCTTTAAAATATTACATTGGAAAAACATGTTGTATCTTAACATACTCTAAATATGACTTGTCCCATTTTTATGCATTGTCGCCACCTTCAATGACATTTGTGCTGAAAGCTCTATACAGGGTGTGTCCAAGTGTCCAAAAAAATTCTCAATCTCAAACATGTGACACGATGTACAATAACCGGAGTGGTTACAGAGGAGTCATAATATACTGTATCAATATTGAGTCTGTCCCATAACTGCTGTTTAAGTAGGGAGAGCATGTAACACTTGCCACAGTCCTTTCACATGATAACTCCTTCAACGTTCATTGCCACAGAATGGCATTGTGATGCAGTAGCAATTCATAGCAGACTTTCTGTTAACATGGATCAAACTTGAGTTGAATAGAGTTTTGTGTCTAAAGGTGGTGTATCAAGATTTTGTCCATAGAAAGAATTGCTGCATATTTTTACTGCGATCTGTTTGGCCTTAATATGACTGCTATTAAAGGACTTCTGAAACACGATTGGTTTCATTTGGTGGAGGGAAAAAGTATTGTATATCTTCAATGTTGCTCAGACGTTGCATCAAGGCCTCAGTAAGGCTTTCAAAACATTTAATGGTAGACATGTGGATGACATTTCCAAATTTGACATCAGTGACAGTAAGTTTGTCTGATGCAATTCCCTATTTTGACTTGTACCTTATGTTCCCATGTTTCTTCAGGTGAACAATTGAGTGGCCTTTGCATGTGTTTGTGATGGGTGCCATTTTTTTAACTGTTTTGTATCACACTGAGAATCGGCTTTATGGGATGTCATTAAAAACAAATCACATGTTCCAAAACATTTTAATTCTTTTTAATTTGCCTCAGGTTTCACCCCCAGCATAACATATTTTTCACTCAAAGTCCTGAAAAAATGTTTATGGGACCTTATCAATAATAATTAGCTTTTGCCTCCCTCCTTTTAAGAAAGACACATCTCTTGCAGCAGTGAGAGGAAACACATTGTATCTCTAGCAAATACTGTCAGTTGATGCTATATAGCAACAAACAAAACAACACTACAACCTGTTATATAGCAGAAGGGACATTCACTCCTAATATATTGCAACTTGTTCAGCTGCTAATAATAACTTCTGCACTGACCTTGCCAATCACTAAATGCCAGTCAGCACATGCTGACATCACCTTGATGACCAAGTGTCATGTCCCTTGCACACAACATGACGCCATTCAATGTCACGTCTTAGTTGCAATAAAGATTTATGATCTTGAGTCTACACTTAACTACTCTTACCATTACAGCATAAATTTTCTAATTTTGTTTGCCATAACTCCAGATGATAAATTCATATTTCTGAGATAAACATTGCATTAAAAGATGAAATTATTTCAAAGAAAATTTAATTCATTTTCCTGAGCAGGAACAGATCTCCATAAAATAATTTTATCTTCTTCTTTTTTTGGCTTTTATACAGAATCTTCTCTCTGGTTATGACTTGAACATTCAATGGATACCGGTCATTGCTAATTTCTGAAATTGTATCAGTAAGATTTTCACAATGTCACCATAAGATTACAGTTCTTAGAACAGAAGATCAGCCTAGTTGTGACTATAGGAGGAAACAACGAGAGCAGTTCTACAGGCACCACTACATAACCTGCTTGATAGGTGTAAAAACTTTTGAGAAGCTAAGTTGTACGGTTTAGGAAATATGCTCCAGACAAGAGCACTACCCTCTAATTTCCTATGTTCATCATATTTCCATGGAAACGACAAAAATAAAAAAATTCTAAAAAAATCTAAATAGCAAAAGGCACTACTACTGAGCCTGATTGGTAAGTGTACCAAGTTTTGTGAAGCTAGGTTTGTACGGTTTAGGAAATATGCTCCGGACAAACAATGATTACAGACGGACGGACGGACGGACGGACGGACGGACGGACGGACGGACAGACAGACGGACGGACGTACTGATGGCTATATCCCCCCGTCATTATATGTCGGGGGGATAAAAATTATAAAATTATCTGCCATAGTCTATTTCTTTTTCAGAATGGTATTTAGGCCATACACCACTCAATAACCATGGTAATACATGCAAATTTGAAAACATATAATATTTATCTCAAAATAAATAGAACAATTATGGTTTAATAAAAGACTATTTGAAAAGCATGTCATCTAATGTGTGGTTCTGTTAGAGGTTTGTTTAGAGGTTTGTTCTTGGCAATGAATCACAATCTTTATGTCAATTATTGTGATAATTTTGAGTATCAATACACCTCCGAGTATTAGTCTGTCTCACAGACCCAGAACGATATTATTCTCCCTTACCCAGCCCTTACTGTAATCAGAGCTCCAGATAAGCTGCGTATCTGTGTAAAATACGCATCAGAAATGCAGAAATACCTTGCCAAACTCCATGATGACAGTTACATCATGATCATTTGCCATCACACTTTCTTGTGGAAGTATCGTGGTATTTTTGAGTCCTATAAAGTTCTCGAACCCGCACGATACAAGTTTGCAGGGACTAGATGAATCGTGTTTTTAAATATTTAACTTAAATACCCATATGTGTAAAAACTAGTGGGTAACAGAAATTTGAATACCCAGATAGAATTACTGATACCCAATGATTTTAAAATGCATGGTTAAAATACCCACAACACCAAAAGCTTATCTGGAGCTCTGCTGCAATGCTATAGCCCTAAATTAAGCAGTCTAGATTTTTCCACAGGTTATGAATCTCACAGGGACTTATTTTCAAATGAAATGTAGTTGCATGTTTCTATGAATATTATATGGGTTCAGAAATTAGTATTCATTAAGTCAACATAACTCTATTTCCCCAACATAAGCACTGTAGCTCATCCATGAAGCACGAAAAAATGATGAAAACTTCTCCATGAACGTAAAACATGTATCTTCATACCTCTCATGCTGGACAACAGATTATTTACCATGCAGAACAAAGTTTCCCACCCTTTAAAAATGTTCCCAATTTATTTCCACAATTCTCTTAGTAACCCCCACTTCCACTCATGTGGAAAGTGCCATGGTAATTGTATCAAACTCCCAACCTTTCAGGACTAATCCAACAAATTACAAGTAGATAATAACCACCTGAGACAGGTGATGAAGATGGGGATAACATTCCATCATGCTAGGGTTCACCAACTTACTCAAGTATACAGCGCTGCCTGTCATGTTACAAAACACATCTGAATAGCTTAACTGGGCCCTGAGATCCTCTATGAAAAACACATCATTATCATCCTCTGAAACCTCCCACTGACCCTACAAACTGACCGGTCAAGAACCAGAGGGTGTAGTTCTGACCAATTTGTTTACACGGAGCTTGGTAAGCATGGTAAGCTTTATAAGTACATAATATTTCTAAACAGAACACCTCATAGACGAGTATTTTGGTTGCAAGGAAATATTTTTAAGTTGTAAGCATTAAAATTTGTTGCCACTATTTCTGTATTGTATTCAAACTTATAACAAACACAGAAAAAAAATGTGCATCATAGAAGGTGCTCAAAGTTGTGCAATTTGATCAAGTGTTGGTTGTTTTGGTCATTTAACACAGTTCTCAACAATATTCCAGCTATATGATGATGGCCTCTGAATAATCAAGTCTAGAC